ATTCCGAGATATGCAAAATTCTTGAAGGAGCTTTACACCAACAAGAGAAATTTGAAAGGAAATGAGAAATTCTCGATGAACAAACATGCATCCGCAGTTTTACAAAGGAAGCCTCCACCCAAGTGCAAGGATCCCTGAATGTTCACAGTTCCTTGCAAGATTAGAGATGTCACTTTTAGTAGTGCTATGCTCGATCTTGGTGCCTCTATCAATGTCATGCTCTATTTTGGTGGATGAATCATTGAATATCGGACCCTTAAGTGAAACTGGTGTCATAATCTCTCTTGCGGATAAATCAAGTGTCTTTCCTAGAGGTGTTTTGGAAGATGTCCTAGTGCAATTAAACCAATTGGTCTTCCTGACGGATTTCTATGTGATTAACCTAGATGAACAAGTATCCTCAAAATCGTGTATAATGGAATTTGATGGTGAAATAATAATTTTTAACATTTATGATGCTATGAGGTATCCTAGTGATGTTTCATCCTTGTGCTTTGTTGATGTTGTTGAACCATTAACCCAAGAGTTGTTCAAGCTGTCTAATGGTGACATGTTGGAGATGGTTTTGAGCAAAGGCTTTGATTGTGAAAAATTAGCCAAGAAGTTGAAGCTCTACTCACTAGACCCCGAAGTTGAAAGATTAGTCAACAATTTGGAGATCAAGAAGACCACCCAATTTAGTGTGAAGAAAATCGAATTACCTCAAACTCGCACGAGATTTCCGCCCTCCCTTTTCCAACCGCCGGAATTAGAATGGAATATCCTTCTTCAACATTTGAAGTATGCGTACTTGGGAGACAGCAAGACTCTTACGGTCATCATTTCGACTCACCTAACAAAGGGTGAAGAAGAACAACTCCTCGAGGTATTGAGGGAACATAGAGAGGCAATGGGTTGGACGATTGCGGATATCAAAGGTTTGAGTCCCTCCACTTGTATGCATAATATCTTGATGTAGGATGAATGCAAGCCAAGTCGGGATGCACAAAGAAGATTGAACCCGCCTATGATGGAGGTTGTGAAGAAGGAGATTTTTAATCTCCTAGATGTAGGAATGATCTATCCAATCTCGGATAGCAAATGGGTGAGCCCGATTCAAGTCGTGCCGAAGAAGACGGGAATCACAGTGGTCGAGAACAACAAAGGTATGATGGTCCCCACCCGTGTGCAAAACGGGTGGAGAGTATGTATTGACTACTGCAAACTGAATGCAAGCACACAAAAATATCATTTTCCATTACCTTTCGTTGACCAAATGTTAGAAAGGTTGGCCGGAAAATCCCATTATTGTTGTCTCGATGGGTATTCCAGTTTTCACCAAATTCCGGTGGCACCGGAAGACCAATAAAAGACAACTTTTACATGTCCATTTGGCATTTTCGCATACCATAGAATGCCATTTGGATTATGTAACACCCCGGCCACTTTCCAACGTTGTATGGTTAGGATCTTTTCAAAACATGTTGAAAATATAATTGAAGTTTTCATAGATGATTTTATGGTATATGGAAGCTCCTTCAAGAGTGTTTGACCAATCTCACCAAAATTTTGAAAAGATGTATTGAAACAAATTTGGTTTTAAACTTTGAAAAAATGTCATTTTATGGAGAGTCAAGGTCTTATTTTGGGTCATATTGTGTCAAAGAAAGGAATTGAGGTAGGTAAGGCCAAGATAGATGTTATTCAAAGCTTACCATACCCGACTTGTGTTCGGGAAGTTCGTTCTTTTTTAGGCCATGCAGGTTTTCTACCAATGATTCATCAAGGACTTTTCGAAGATAACAAGACCAATGTGCCAACTCTTGCAAAAGGATGTTGATTTCGAGTTCAATGAGGTGTGCAAAGAAGCTTTTGACAAGCTCAAAGAGTTGCTCACATCCGCCCCTATCATGCAAGCACCAAATTGGGATCTTCCATTTAAGATTATGTGTGATGCAAGTAACTATGCAATAGGCTCCGTTTTGGGTCAAAAGAAAGGAAGAGCCTCCCATGTGATCTACTATGCATTGAGAACGCTAGACAATGATCAAAGCAACTACTCTACTACGGACAAGGAGTTATTGGCCATAGTATTCGCCTTGGAGAAATTTACACAATGCCTATTTGGTACCAAGGTCATTGTGTATTCGGATCATGCAGCTCTTAATTACTTGATGACGAAGAAAGATTCAAAGCCTAGACTCATCCGGTGGATTTTATTGTTACAAGAATTTGATTCGGAAATCTGGGACAAGAGTGGATGCGAGAACCTTATTGCTGACCACCTAAGCTAGATCACTTCAAATGAAACCCCTATCCCTTTGCTGGACGAGTTTCCAGATGAGCATCTCTATTCCCTCACTCAATCTACTCATTGGTATGCGATATCATTAACTTTTTGGTCACAAAGACGTATCCCGACACATTCACACGTGCTCAAAAGTGATGAAAAATACTATGTGTGGGATGAACCTTATTTGTGGAAACATTGTCCCGATCAAATCATTAGGCGATGTGTACCCCAATAAGAGCACCAATCCATTTTGCAATTCTGTCATGAATTTGCTTGTGGGGGACACTTCGGACCTAGTCGGACTTTGAGAAAGGTCCTTGAGTGTGGATTATTTTAGCCAACCATGTCACATGATTGTTACTTGTTTTTCAAAAGTTGTGAACGGTGCCAAAGGACAGGGAACATTTCACAAAAAAATCAAATGCCACAAAATCCAATCATTGTTTGTGAAAATTTTGACGTATGGGGGATTGATTTCATGGGCCCATTCCCCGTTTCGTTTGGCAATGTTTACATCTTGCTCACGGTTGACTATGTTTCTAAGTGGGTTGAAGCCAAAGACACAAGATCGGACGATGCCAAAACAGTTATCGACTTTCTAAAATCTAATGTTTTTGTGAAGTTTGTTGTGCCTAGGGCGTTGATTAGTGATCGAGGGACGCATTTTTGTAACAAGATGATGGAGGCCTTGCTAAAAAAGTACAACGTGACCCATCGTGTCTCTACCTCCTACCACCCTCAAACGAATGGTCAAGCGGAGGTTTCGAATCATGAAGTGAAGTCTATTCTAGAGAAAACAGTGAATCTAACAAGGAAAGATTGGAGTTTGAGGCTTGACGATGCCTTATGGGCCTATCGGACCGCTTATAAGACCCCGATAGGAATGTCGCACTTCAGATTGGTTTTTGGAAAACCATGTCATCTTCCTGTCGAATTAGAGCACGACACATTTTGGGCGGTCAAGCAATACAACTTCAACATTGACGAGGCGGGAAGGAATAAGAAGCTTCAACTCCAAGAGCTAGAAGAATTGAGAAATGACTCTTATGAAAACACAAGGATTTATAAGGAGAAAACGAAGCTCTTCCACAATAAGTCCATCACCTGAAAGCATTTTGAACCGGGGCATAGGGTCTTACTATATCATTCGTGACTAAAGTTATTTCCAGGAAAGCTAAGGTCAAGATGGATTGGAACTTTTGTTGTGATAAAGACCTTTGACTATGGGGCGGTTGAAATTCAAAGTAAAGAAATGGGGTAGATCTTTAAAGTCAATGGGCACCGATTGAAACCTTTCTATAATGGTTTTAACGCAAATGCCCTAGATGTCATCCAAATGGATGCCCCGGTGTACTGAAATCAAGAGGGTAACACATCTCGCGAAACACGCTAAAGAGGGGCATTTTTGGAAAACAAAAAGTTTTCGTCTTTTCTAGTTCCGAATAAATGTCGTAGATGATCCATTTTTGCATTTAACATCTCTTCTTCTTCCTTCTTACGGTAAAAGAATGTTGGATTTGAGGACCTGATGTTCTATTGGTCAAAGAGCAAAAAAAATTTTGGGAAAAATGGCAAGCCAATTCACGCGGAACGCGTTTACTCCAAGGTCCGTCCGCGTTAAGAATCAAATGGCCCGCGTATGATCTCTACAGGTGTCCGCGTCCAGCATCCGCAAATAGAACAACTTCAAGCAAATTCACGCGGTCCGCTTGTCATCGGAGTTTTTTCCGCGTGTTTATTAAAATGGACCACGTAATGTCCCTCAAAACGTCCGCGTCTATCATCAGCAAACAGATAGTTCTAGTCCAATTCATGCGGTTCGCGTGTCATCGGAGACTTGTCCGTATGTTTATTAAAACGGACCGTGTGTAGTGCCTGGAGTCGATTGCGCCTCGTGAAAGGAAATTAGAATGCTTATGGGCTTACTCACGCAGATAGCGTGTACTCACAGTCGCGTCTGCGTGAGTTGTTGATTGACGTTGACCGTGTTTTGACTAGGTTTGACCGCAAATTAAAACCCCCTAACCCCCAGTCGGCCCTTCTCCTTCCCATTTCTTCTTATTCCTTTCCACTAACCTCCATTAGAGAACCTCCATCTCCACCACTAAAACTCAGTTTCCCGTCAAACCACTAGTTGGAATTTCGCGAGACTACCGCTTTTCTTCACCAAATTCCGAGCTCTACAAACCCCACTAAAAACCCGGTCTGATATATTATTGTAGCTTGGGGCGCCACCACCACTCAACCACCACTTTCCGGCCAACTCCGGCCACCTATCGCTATTCTGACACCACGATTGTGCTCCTCTTAGACAGGGCTACAAACCCCACCAAAATCTCTCTCATAGCTCGCCAGAAAATTTCGCCGAAATTTCAAGTTGTTGCCGAATTTCTTAGTTTTTCGCGATAAATTGCTTATCACGGGATATTGAACAAAGCTTAAAGCTGGGGTGGAGAGTTGTAAGATTTTTAAATCCCGAATTCTCGCACGCAAATTTTGAACTTTCAACAAAAACAGGAACTTTCTTTCCTTTATTTTAATTGATCAAGATGCATGTCTCTGAACAACCATTCATATGTTATTGCATCAAATGACTGTAGGATTTATTTCTTGCTTTGATTGTTGAACTGCTTTAGAAGTCCATAGGGAGTTAGTTGGTGATTTGGATTGGCATATCGTTTGTTGAGATTATGGTTCATGTAGTGGTTATTTTTCGTGCAGGTAGTCCATGTCCAAATCTAGGAAGCGCCCGACTGCTGCCCGACACAAAGCCCCGGCTAGAAATCAAAACGATGCTCCCGATATTCCAAGATTTCGGGATGCCAATGCAGCCGAAAACTACACAAAGAGCTTGCCGAGAAAATTTGCATCCACCAAATTTGTGTGCAAGCCCATGCTTATATCATTAGGGGTTCTTGAAGGGGTCACCCAATTGTTCTGTAACATTGGGTGTGAAAACCTTCTCAACCTCATTGCGTACACTTACGAGCTCCCCACTAGAGAGTTTCTTGTTGACAGTGGGTACGATAACGAAAAAAGAAAAGCCACATTCCAACTTCTAGGGGACCGAAGGTACATCGATTTTGCAATGATAAATGAGATCTTGGGCTTGCCTTCTTCAAACACATCCACAGTTTTCGACATCTTACCTGCTGAGTTCAATCATGAGACCTTTCGGACAGAAATCATCAGGGGTATCTTTTCGTGCGCTGATCGGGATAAAGCAACATTTATCATTCATTCGTGCCTCCGCATTGCCCATCGCATCTTGGTGTGTACAGTATTTGCCCGCAAAGAAGCAGGCCAGGTCACAAAAAATGAGCTCTTCTTCCTTTGGTGTATGATGCAACGTGCAAACCCGCCAATCCCGGACTTTGCTTCATTCTTTTTCCACAAATGCGCACACATGAGATCCACAATGTCCGATGATGTTTGCATTGGGGGATTTGTCACACTTTTGGCTCGCGGTCTTGACATCGAGCTCCCAGATGAATACCAGCCTGTTGACAACAGAAATCTTTTGGATGAGTGTGCTCTCATAAACATGCACCACATTCTTCGCAGGAACATGAGCAGTTTCACATGGTATTGTCCTCAAGGGGTCGGATATCTCATTCTTCCCAGACCCTCGAGTCACAAACTTCACCTTCCATGATCGCACTCAGTGGAGACTCGCGAGGACCATCACTCAGTCAGTCAATGAGGATGTGCTCCATGATCAAGATGATGACAAGATGCATGTGAATGATGAGCCTGACGATGATCCCACCCATGGTCCACAACATGCCCAGCCACAAGCCCCTCCCGGGTACTCCCCGCTCCCCCCCCCCCTAATTTTTCCGAGCGGTTCGAGTCTCTTTGTGTCTCAAACCAAATCATGTCCCAGAAAATGCACCATATGTGGGGGTGGAACCAGTGTTCTAAAAGGCACGCCATGGCGTGAGGCGTGGCTTCGCCGTTACAAAAAGTTTCATAACGTTGTTGTTAGGCGTGGCGCGTGGCAAGGAGTGATATTGCGCCCCATGGCGCGTTATGGAGTGTTATGGCACGTGTTTTTTCGTTTGAGACACATTTTTTTTTCTCTTTGTTATGTCTTTTCAAATCGGAGATATAAGTATTGTGGTTTTTGTTAACTTTTTGTTATTAGTTATTGATCTAACATTTCCAAAAAGTAGTTATATTTAATATAAAATTATTTTTATGTGGTAATATAATTTTAAATTAATACAAAATCGCCGCCTTACATCACGCCTTGAAAAATGCCATGGCTCGTCATGGCTCGTTAAGCTTGAGGCTTGGCCTTGCCGCCACGCCACACCACGCCTCACGCCATTTAGAACCTTGGGTGGAACTAATCCCAAAACCATTTTGAGAATGTCCCACTTCCACCTTCCTATCCATACCCTCCATGTGACATCCCCAAAATCACGGCCAAAAAAGACCGGTTTTGTTTATACTTTATTTCAAAATCAGAGTTATCTTTTAATAAAAGGGTTGCGGAATTTGTCCCAAAACAATAATATGATAAAGATTTATCAAAAGCATTTCCATAGAAATGTATTTCATTAAAAGACTCGGGATGTCATGTTCGTACAGATCAAAAGTATAAACAGTACAATATAAGCCTTACTACATTATTTCATATCTACAGGCCTATATCCGTAATCCCTCGTCCAAAACATCACACCTATGCTCATGCGCCACTACCTGTAATACATAAAACTGAGTGGGTCAGGCTTGGGAGCCTGGTGAGCACATAGGGTTTTCAACCCACAATAAATAAGTTTATTAATTTCATCAATCAACAATAACCCGATTACCCGTTCCCGTTATCCTCACTTTACGTCCCTAAACACCTATCATAAGGGACCTAGCCTAAGGATCATCATCGGGACGGACACTACTGCTAAGGGGATTCCTCAGCAATAAATGTCCTAATAGGCAACCATGTGGGGGATGGAGTACACCGGTGAACACATCGTTCACAACACCTACAGGTTGCGAGCCTGCTAGTGTTCCACTGGACTGTCTAGAAGAGTCCGTGGTCGTCATCTATACTCCGCTAGATGACTGGATCAACAACAACAACATCGAGGCCTCTCATCATTTTATCACACATCACCTATTACATCTACCCATGTTTTACCCCAACATTTTCGTAGATATAAAATACATATACAGTTTAAATCATTGAAAACATGTATAACAACGTTCATCTAGCATAGATAGCAAGTATTCAGATAATATGCACACATAGCACGTAATTTATATAAAATACTTCATATCTATGTGTAAGTTGAAGGTAACTATGCACTCACCGGAAAAGGTGGTGATTCCGAACTCAGACAGCGCTTCGCTTCTTAAAAAGAATTTTTCTTCGACGAAACCTAGTATTATTACCACTAGAGTTTAGTTTATTATTCGTCGAGACTAATTAATAGTCTAGCTATTATTATTATTATATAAGCGTCAAAAAATACTTATATAACCCATAATAATAGCCCAAGTATTTATTATAAGTTCCTAATAACGTTACTATAATTAAATAAAAGTTATATTAAAAATAGCGTAGGCGTAGCTCACTTACAGCGGGTTTTATAGAAAACCGGGCTTTGCTTGGAGCAGCGTTCCCGAGCCGAAAAGCTCTTCTTCTCAGAGCCTTCGAGCACTCCGGGGCTTCCGCCTCGTGCTAGGGAGGTTCCCTAGGCTTTTCGGGGGATTTCGGGGCTAGAGAGAGGTTCTAGAGAGAGAGAGAGAGTAAAGAGAAGAAAGAATGGGAAAGGTGTGAAGAAAATGAGGGTGGGAGAGGTGGTATTTATAGGGTGAAATGTGGCTGAACTTGGTGCCACATGTCACCATCTGGTGGCAAGCCTTGGGGAGAAAGCAATGGCCAAGATTGTGCCACATCACCCATTTTCGCACAGCACACTTCCGACTTCTAAAATCCGTAACTTTCACATACGACCTCCGTTTTTGACGTTCTTTATATCCACGCGTAGGTAATAATAAGATCTACAACTTTCATTTTGACACCGTCAGCTAATTCTCGACCGATCTTAAATTTAACAGTACAAGGAGATTATACTGTTAAACGTCTGCGTAAAATTAATAACTTCTACATACGGACTCTGTTTTTGTCTGTCTTTTTACCGTTGATTTCCTATTAATGAGATCTTCAACTCTCATTTACGTTGCGTAAGCCAAAAACCGCTCGAACTAAAATTCGAGTTTCAGGCCGTGCACTGCTAAGCCGAATCTTAGAAAAATCATAACTTCTTCATACGAAGTCAGATTTGGGCGTTCTTTTTATCGATGTTCTTAGTTTAACATATTCTACGACTTTTGTTTAGATTGCTAAGGCTAAAAAGTCTTCTATCGTAAATTCACTATTTACGTCTCCCGGTGTCGTGCCGGTTTTGCGTAAAACTTCGGCGGGCCATAACTTCTTCGTTATAGCTCGGATTTCGGCATTCTTTATATGTACGGAAACCTTGAGACATATTCTACAACTTTATGTAGAGATATCGGGATTATCTCACACTTTAATTTTGACGCTCATTTTTATTCTTTATTAATTATACATTTATAATTAAATAATAAACACATAAACACACATAATTCACATAATACTCAAATATTTCATATTTATTACTTCAAAAAGAGTTACAATAGTTGACCTAGACTATTACATTGACAAAAATGCTTAGCCCTGAAAACCCGGGCGTTACAATTCTCACCCCCTTAGGATGATTCCGTCCCGGAATCATGCATCAGCAAACAGATGTGGATAGCGACTCATCATGTCATCCTCTGTTTCCCAAGTGAGATTCGGCCCATTCGAATGTTTCCATCGGACTAGCACCAAGTCGACCATCTTGCGTCGTAACTTCTTAGTCTTACGGTCAATAATTGCCTCAGGCTCTTCGATCAGCCTTTTATTCTCATCCATCCTTAATTCCGAGATTGGAATTATGTCGGGAACATCTCCCATGAATTTCCTCAAATAACACACATGGAAGGTGTTATGAATACCATTGAGTTCTTCGGGCAATTCCAGCTTGTAAGCTTGGTTCCCAATCCTCTGAAGAACTTTGAATGGTCCAATAAACCTTGGACTCAACTTTCCTCGTTTCCCAAATCGTATAAGTCCCTTCCACGGTGAGACTTTAAGTAAAACGGAATCCCCAACTTCGAAGGTTATCGGTCGTCTTTTCTTGTCGGCATAGCTCTTCTGACGATCCTGAGCTGCTAACATTCTTTCCCTAATCACCTTCAATTTCTCAGCAGTCTCATGGACTATCTCGGGGCCCATAAACTGCTTCTCTCCGGCTTCAAGCCAACAAGACGGCGTACGACACTTCTGCCCATACAAGGCTTGATAAGGAGCCATCTTGATGCTCGAGTGAAAACTATTGTTGTAGGAAAATTCTACCAGAGGTAAGTGCTCGTCCCAATTCCCTTGGAATTCGAGGGTACATGCTCTCAGCATATCTTCCAACGTCTGAATCGTTCTTTCACTCTGACCATCAGTTTGCGGATGGTAAGCAGTACTCAAACACAACTTTGTACCCAACTCCTCTTGTAGACTCCTCCAAAACCTCGATGTGAAACGACTATCACGATCTGACACAATAGTAAGAGGGACACCGTGAAGTCTTACAATTTCCTTCACGTAAGCATTTGCGAGCTTATCCATAGACCACTTCTCGTTGGCTGCTATGAAGTGTGCACTCTTGGTGAAACGATCCACGACTACCCAAATCATGTCGTGACCATTCTTCGTTCTGGGCAGTTTAGTCACAAAATCCATGGTGATGTCTTCCCATTTACCCATGGGTACAGGTAAGGGTTCTAAACTCCCATACGGTTTTTGATGTTGTGCCTTAACCCTCGCACATGTTACGCACTCAGCCACATACTTCGCAACATCGAGCTTCATCGTCGGCCACCAGTAGTAGGGTTTTAGGTCCCTATACATTTTAGTGCTACCGGGATGAATCGAGTACATGGTCTTGTGTGCTTCTTCCATTAGAAGATCTCTTATTCCTCCCGTCTTAGGTACCCAAATTCGATCTTGGAATACCTTCAGTCCTCGACTGTTCGTACCGAACACTAACGTTTTTCCCAAACGTTCTTCCTTTCGGTCATTCTTTTCTAAGGCTTCTTCTTGAGCTTTCCTGATACTTTCCACAATCGTCGAGACGACTTCAATTCTTAACGCTCTTGGCCTTCTTCTTTCAAGATTGACTTTCCGACTGAGAGCATCAGCAACAATATTTGCTTTACCTGGGTGGTAAAGTATCTCACAGTCGTAGTCCTTGAGAAGTTCTAGCCAGCGTCGTTGCCTCATGTTCAACTCCTTCTGATTAAAGAGATACTGGAGACTCTTATGATCAGTGAAGAGCTTGCACTTCGTGCCGTAGAGGTAATGCCTCCATATCTTTAAGGCGAATACTACCGCTGCCAACTCCAGATCATGAGTGGGGTAGTTCTTTTCGTGCTCTTTCAATTGTCGAGATGCGTATGCTATCACCTTTTCTCTTTGGGTCAGAACACAACCTAACCCGACTCCAGATGCATCACTATAAACTGCGAAATCTTCGACTCCATCGGGTAGAGAAAGTATCGGCGCTTCACATAACTTCTTCTTTAGCT